ATGGCCAGCAATATCTCCTGACCTCAATCCGATAGATTTCTGGTATTGGGGAGAACTTAAAGGGATGGTTTATGGGGCTGGTCCAATAACAACTGAAGAACAACTTCGCGAAAAAAAATTTAATGCGGCCGAAATAATAAATGGACAACTTCGAGGACCTAGAGTAAGAAGAAGCTGGGTTTGTCGTAATGAAGCTTGTGTGGAACGTCGAGGACGATATTTTGAACATCTTCTTTAAACACAAAGAAGTGCAGTGTGGGTTTTAAAAAGAAAAACAATGTATGTATCAAAATTGGGTTCCCTATTTATAAGTGGATTTTTTTAATACATTCAATAAACTTTTAATTGTATGCATTTTACGAGTACATTATCAAATAATGAAAAAATATCAAAGAGCCACGAATAACAAATTCCATCTTTATTTCGTCGTAATTTGCGTCTGGCATTGCGGCGTTGTCAGATTCTAATTTACTTTAAAGTCGCTTTTCTCTAAAAAATGCCGTTTTGACCCCCATGTTATATGAAACTTTCTGCTTCCATTAACCCCCTCTATCATCCATTTAAATAATGCCTATCATAACGTTTACACCCTGTCTATTTGTAATAATAAATCGCCTTTGTTCAGGGCGAAGTTCAACTTATAGCTATTCTCTTACCTGACCTTCAACAACAAGAAGTTAACATCAAAAGTATATAAGTAGAATGAAATATATAAATTATAGTATAGTACTAAGCATTAGTACTTTATAAATCTATGAGGTTACAAATAAAAGGACCTCAACTATATCATGTTCATAATTTAAAGAAAGAGGTGATAATTGTCATCATAGTATCTCGAATAACTCGATGGGTTAATTGATAATTGAGGCCTGAATTCTTCAAATGTGATTCTTGCCTCTTCAATTTAATACACGCAAATTTTCAGTAACTCAGCATCCAAGGGACTTGAAACGATCCACTTCTTTAAACGTCTGCTAGTTCAGTTGTATTGGTGCTCATTTTCTTACTAGTGGTTTTCATTTATTAGATTTTGTTGTATATTGAAGACCCAATTTATCCAAGCTATGTTAGCTCTATCTATTGCGTCCCCATTTCTGTATTTCAGACACTTGCATCTTAAATTAGACATATATCTCATCCATGCGATGAGCTATACCATTAGTCTGGAATGATGGACATTAGGCAAACCTTTATTTATAACTGTATGGTATGCTATTTTGAAAATAAATCATATCATCATGAAATTGCTCACAAATATGACACCCGCCAGAAAATTGCTAGACACAAGACCTAGGCCAGAAAACTAATTACTGCAACACTCCTGGATTTATCTTTGCCTCAAATTGTCCAACGAAATGCCTTCTGATTACAAGTTAATACGAACCATTGGTTTATTCAGGAAAAAATCTCAGTATGGGTGAACGGTATATCCATAAGGTGCATAATACATGATTATACAGAAGGTAAAGCACTTACAAGTCACTTTTCACAGCCCAAGTGAAGTCACCGTTCTGTGAATAATTATAATGTTGCTCCACTTTATTTTATTATACTTTATTTATACGGTATCTCATGTTTGATGGACACTTAATTTTATTCTATTCTACGCTTGATGTATCTTTAGCTTTATTGTTCGCAACACAAACGTAACTACCGGTTTTGTACTGTCATATTAGTTTCATTCTCCTTTACTATGTATGTATGCTTTCAACGTGTTAATAGTGTACACGTATTGAGCCGTATTCATGAAAGAGAAGCATATCATCGGAAGCATAAGGTAAAAGTCTTGCTTCGGAGAAAAAGGTAGAAGTATAAGCATATCCTTGTTTTCATATTCATAATGATTACCTTATACACCCGAGGATATCCTCCAAGGAGAAGTAAAAGGTTGACTGATGTTTGTATCTTGAGCGACATGTCCTGACTTGTTCTAGCTTGTAGTTGACGTGGGAGTTCGTTCACTCAATATCACTGTCAGTTGTACTCCAGAGCTTACACAGACCGTTCCGTATTTTTACTGGATACAGTTTTTTATCAAATTAATAAGCATGTCATCCTCAAGTGATGATGAAACTATAGAAAATAATGTCAACGACCTGCAGTTCATCGTACATGAAATTGCCAATGCTCCCATTATTTTGCAAAAGTCACAAGTTCCAAAAATAACAATGAAAAAGGACGATGTCTTGAAGAAGATGTTGAAAAAATACGAATCAACATTCGGTAAACCGTTAGATACTAAAGGCTTATTAAAAAAAATCAACAACATGAAATCAAGATTGAATAAAAAAACAGATCTAAAAAAACTGGTAATAAAGCAATTAAATTGTTAGATTGGGGAAGAAAGTTGCTGAAAGCTATGGAAGGTAATCCTACAATTGGAAAAATTAGAGGTGCTATTCAGGTTGGTAGTGTTCAAGAAGTTAGTATTACAGCGCCAGCAATTCAGAAGACATTGCCACCAAAACGAAAATTAGCAACAGAGAAATACGAAACTGAGGCAACCAAAGGGTTAATGACAAAAGAACTGCAACGTCTAGTGCTATTACACTAACACCAAGTTTCTGACCAATACCTTGTTGATATCCAGGCGTAGACATATCTTCATTTTATGAATACATGAAAGTGCTCCTCCTCGAGTTTCCTCATTCTCAACTAAAAATCTGTCCGCAAGACATTGTACATTTGCTTCGTCGAACCGTTATAATTTTTTGAAGTCACGACCAAGTGAAGGTAAACGAGGTTTGTAGGTTTTAACATCTCTAACATCCACAATTTCCGCCATCATCGTTTGACCACCTTTCGTTACGAAGTTGAGTCTGCTACTGACCACACTCAAAATTTTTGAAAGATATGCTTCCTAAGCCAAGTATAAGGTGAAGATTATGAATATCCTTTTACTTATGTCACTGCCTTGAAGGATATGCTTATACTCAAAAAGCAAAAGCATTTACTTCAAATTATTATGAATACCATCTGGAGGATTTCCTTCAAAATTTGCAAGTACAAGGATATCCTTTGCTTTATGAATACGTCTCATTATATGAAAGCTTCTATTACAGTTTAGTACGAGCCGCGTTTAGTCTTTTAAAACATCTTATTTATTATTGAATTAAGTTAAACTGCGACAGTGTCAGTTCAAAGTTTTGTCGATACTGCCAGTGACTCTGCAACACCAAAGTATGTCAGTGCGTGAGTGTAGAAGCACATACACACAGAATTCTTTTCTTTCGTGGCATTACTATTATTTGTCATTGATACCCGTTTGTGGCAACAATCTTTGAAATTTGTATTCATATTATTTAATTGTATTTGGCAAATAAATTATTATTATCACCATCTGGACCCCACCTCGTTCAAAATATTGGCTCCCTGTATATTCTCCTTATGGTATGGTAGGCTTGTAGTTATAAAAAATGTGTACCAAGAACCGCTACCCAATAACAAGCATTAGCTGTGTCCGTGACAGTAACATCTAAATGCTGTGCAATTTTAGGCTACTTCAATCGAGAAGCAGGCACAAGTGCCCTTCATTGGAACCGAAATAAGAAGTGTTGCTTGTTTTGGCGTCGATCTCATTTTCTACTACTTATATACTGGAAAAGGCTGATATCTATATTTTTAACAATAGGCACAGTATGGTTTAGAAGTGAAATGTAATGGATTCCAGCAATCTAAAAGTAATTTTATGGATATCTGCATGTCCATTATTGCGGTGAACGGTAAACTAACACAGATTTGAGAGTGTAAGAAAATTGATTCATAAATACAATGAAATGGTTTAGCAATAACATAAGGATTATTAAAATATAAATCGTTCATTATACTGCAGAAGGACGTAGAATTGTTTAGAACGGATCGCTGGCTTGCCATCCTTGACGCGTGATTCAATTATGATTGACGCTTTAGTGTGATCCGCTGCGTTTCCTACGACTTTTTCTAACTGATTAGAATTATCTCGAATATTAATGGTGATACTAAAACAGATAAGCTGATTACAATACTAATGCTAGCGATATAGCTGTTTTTATATCATGAGCGAAAAGTTTCACTTTGCTTTTGAGAAGGCGGTAAATCAAAGGAGATACATTTTTGCTTACCAGGTTCGTGGAAAAGGTGGAAAACTAACCTCAGGAGGCTCAAAAATCCAATCAACGATCCTTATTCCCTCAGCATTTAGGATTCTGTCTTAGCGGCTTCTTTAGTAAAAAATATATTTCAACTGAACATTGATGCCAAAAATCAATTTACCAAAATCTAATTTACAATTCTTGTAATTAAAAAACCCAGTTCTGTGTTTCATCAACGAGGTCTTAGAAGGATAACCAATGACAAATTGAACACGAAAACGAAGACACGAGAAGACTTTATGTCAATGGGTCAGTGCTCCATGTCTGCATGTTGTTTTGTCAAAATTAGATTTACATTACATTACAACATAATACAAATATCCAGTTTGCTCAACGTAGCCTCCAGACTTGGGTTGTAATGTTATTATGTTTTTTGGATGTTACAAGACATAATGAAACTGCATGTCACTCATTTTTTTCTAAAACGTATTAATTTGTTCCGCTTTTGCTTTATTTTACCTTAACAAAGCAATCCACCTCAAATAAATAATAATAATCATCGTCAACATCATCATCATCATCATAATCATCATCATCATCATCATCATCATCATCATCACCGTCATCACCAATTGACTCTGTTATAAAATAATGTCAAGCTGGTTGATTCAATACCACAAATGCAACTGATATTATAATTTTTTTTAAATCTAACCCCGTCCGACAAAGATTAAAAAAATGTGAACAGAAGCAATATTTGTAGTCCAGGTTCGTCAGTCAGTGATTCCGTACATACTGCAACGCTATATATATAGAATTCACACGACTTTAATCTGTAATAACTTATGCCAGCATTGCGTGTGAAGTGCAGGGTCAACTTACTTTTTTGTATTGTCCGAAACCCGGTTTTCTATTTTCTTTCAATTGTAGGTTCTGCTTCTGGAGGCCGGCGATGACGAGCCCCAGGCTGCAGACGTACCTTCCTTTGCCACCATGATGCAACATTCCAACATTGATTGGGACTTCAGGACTCAACCCACACCCAGAGCATGCAGGGCCAGGGTTCAGGGTCAATGCTCTTGGGCCAGGGGAAGGGTCATGGGTGGATCTTCAACTATCAACTTTCTCATATACTTCAGGTGAGAAGTTACGAATGAATCAAATCAAACCCAAATGTTTCAATAGCCATTTGATACCTCCTGGTAGATAGATAGTAGGTATCCAACCCACGCATCAGAAAATACACAAGCCAGCAGGAGTATATTTATTATGATCACAATTTTTAGCTAAAAAATATATATTTACATATAGTCCAGGTATTAACTTCGTATTTGCTTGTAAAAATACTTCTGATTAAGATTTTTTGCATAATCCTATTCTACTCCTTTTTAACTAATCTGCATGTCGCCAGGTTTAAAATTTCTTCGGAAAGTTATTAAAATTTTTTCAAAAAAATTTTTTTGCCGGAATATAAGCGCTTTAATATTTTAAAAAAGTGCAAAATATAACATTTTCAACCCCGAAAAACAATACGAAGAAACGGAAATTTTAATGCCAATAAATATTCTTAAAACATTCAAAAATTTTTCTAAGCATTTTAAGAGGTTTTATTATTGTAAATATTTATTTTTTGATTGGCGTGAGTGCGAGAGAGAGATGTAGCTGGAGGCCCCCTTATTGTTTTTCGGGATCGCCAAACAATTTTGCACTTTTCCCAATATTAAATCGCCCATCCATAACTATCAACTTTAGAGAAAAGTTCTATAGCACCTTTTCTTGTTGATAATGGACACAGAAAACCCAAAAACACATTGACCGGAGCATATGACCATTTTTTGAAATTCGTTAAAAAATTGTTTAAATAATTTTTGACAGAATTTATGGCCTGACCCTTGTTGAAAGGAGACTTTTTTGAATAAGAATTTGGAAATCAGAATCAGAATATTTTTTCGAGCAGATGCGAAGATGCTGCTTGCTCTTTTGATGATTCCGATAAAATGGGCCATTTTTGAGAACACCAGTGTAGCGTTAGCACAGTTTCCTAAATTTGATATTGTATCTATTATATTATAATACTCTCTCGTTTTGAAAATACAGTAATTTGGATAACATGTTCGTTAATCAGCGATCTCAAATGGGATTCTTATTGAATCCTTTGGGGATCGCCGGCCGTGTGAATCAACAGGAACAGTATTCAAACAAGAGTGTTTTTCTCAAAAACGGCTTATCGTGTTGGCATTAAATAAGAATAAATTTTTCCAGGTAAAGATAAGGCTTTCAAAAAATATAATTTTTGGGACCTTATTATATATAGAAAGTACAAAAAACAGCAATGCTGCATTAGGGCTAGTTTGTCTCAGGTCATCTAAGCGAGTTGATTGTTTACAACATGAACATCATCCTGAGTCCCAAAATGTCCCATCACCAAGATACAGGGTGTTATGAATTCCTACGCCACTGATGAGACTGAATAAGAACAAAACATGTACATTGCTTAAATAATGATATTTTGACTCAAGATTGCACTCTTAATACACTACATATAATTTTCGATCTCAAACCCATCAACTTCAGCGTATTTTCAAGGTAGAACGGATTTTAACTAAATATTTAAATATTTTTTTCCAAAAGGTATATTCAGCTAAAGATCTCAAAATGCTGATTCCTGTAAAATTATGCAATATTCTTTTCAAAATAGACAGTTTCGTATAAAATGATTTTCGTTCCCTCCTGTAGGTCTGGCTAATAATTTACTAATTCTTACGCCACTGGCGTAGTCTCAAAAACGCAAAATTTTATGCTATTATCTCAATCCATTTGGAAAATAACAAAATGACTTCTCGACTTTGATATTATTATTCCAGTTTTAAGACAATGCTCTAGAAATATTGCTACTTTTACTGAATTACTGTGTGTCACTCGATGGTCATTTAATAAAAACCGAGCGCCGTAAGACTTTGTTAAAGGAACTAGTTGCTTATACATTGCATTCTATAAGTACCTGGAAGATCGCTTTCTTATTGTGAGACTCCCTCCCTGTAAGTAAGTATACAGGGTGTCCCAGAAGTCGACGTCAAGCCGAAACCGGGTGATAGGCAAAGTCATAACAGCTATCAGAAAAATATTTAAAAAATTTTTATGTATGTGTTTTGAAAATTATAGGTCTTTGAAAAAAATATAGAAATTTCACACCCTACGGCAGTCTGTCAACTCCTGTTACTACAAATATTAACTTTTTTTGGATTTTATTTTTACAATGTAATGATGAATAATGCATCTTCAAACTGGTGTCTCAACCTTACTGCCAACTTTTCTCGTTCAGGAAAAATTGCCACTTATTTCCCAACCAAGTATTCCAAAGTAAAACTTTGCTCAACTTTAACTGGCTGTACTGGAAAAAAATGTACTACGAGAATTTGGCAAGTAACCTTAATAGTTGGCGCATTTAATAAGGATTCCAAAATGGTATAACACTTAGAAGATTACTCGTTAACTTATGCACAATTTTCATTTGAAGAAAAACTGATGAAAATTTTTCAAAATTTCATAATTAAACAGCGATTATGAAAACGCACAAGGACCCTTAAGGATAACTGTTTGCACAACAGTGGGCGGCAAAATGCTGCTGATGATGATTTACCTTTACAGCAAACGCCCAAACTGTTTTCCTTCAGCCGCAATGCACGCTCGACATCTTAAAAAAGATCGAGTTATTAAACGAGCGAATCCACGGTTATTAACAAACTCAGCTGCTTCCAATAGTCTTTGCCGTAGCTCAGCTACATTTTGAATCGGCTTGAAATACACTTTTTCTTTTACAGTTCCCCAGTAAAAAAATCTAACGGATTCAAATCTGGTGACCGGGCTGGCCACGGTATTGTACCAGACCGCCCTATCCATCTGCCTGGAAAGTTTTGATCGAGATACTCTCTCACTGAGAGTGCATAGTGCGCCATCATGCTGAAACCACATGTCCCTGTAAATACTCAGTGGCACGTCCTCCAATAAATTTTCTAAATGATTTTGCAAAAAAAACCTAAATAAACCTCAGCAGTCAAAGTCTCTGGGAACGGACCGATTATGTTACCATTTAAAATTCCTATCCAATGGTTTATCTTGAAGCGATATTGAGATTTATCTTCTCTCATCAAATGTGGGTTTGCTACGTGCCACTCGTGTAAGCTATGCAGGTTCATGTACCCATCTTTCTTAAATGTGGTCACATCTGACCATAACATTTTTCCAAAGAACCGTGGATCTTCCCTGTGTCTTTCTAACATTGTGCGACAAAAAGCAACTCGGGGCTCATAGTCCCGGGGCATAAGAGCTTGAACACGCTGTACGTGGTATGGATGGAGCACGTTTTTTTGCAAGATTCTATGGGCTGTACTTTTGGGCACACCTGTTTTTAGTTCTATTGCAGGCACTGAAGTACTCGGGTCTTCTTCGACAGCTCCTAGCACCGCGTCTTCGTAAGGAAGGACAGATCTTCCCTCACCGTGTGATTGGTTTGGTAGTTGGCCCTCTGAGAAAAGTAAGCGGTGCACATTTGTGAACACTCGATGATCTGGATGACGAGCTGCATTCGGGTACCTCTCACACTAAAGTCTCGCTGCAGCACTAGCGTTGCATCTGCATTCCCCATAAATGAGGTGCATGTTAGCATATTCTTGTATGGTGTACACGGACATAGCGGCACTGCACAATCACACTATCAAAGATAGTCTAAGGAAAGCAAATGTTGTTGTTGTTTTGAAGAGCAATTAAACAGTCTAAATCCAAATCACAAGCGATCAACAGTCCAGTTCACGAATCCAAAATTAGTAACAGTACGAAATCAACAAGCACGAACATGTAAAGATGCGCAGTAAACGAAGGAGTACTGATCGGTATCAAAGTGTGCAATAGCAAGTAAGTGATGTGCTTCATCCATACCACATACAGCGTGTTCAACCTCTCCTGCCCCGGGATTATGAGCCCCGAGCTGCTCTTTGTCGCACAATGTTAGAAAGACACAGGAAAGATCCACAGTTCTTTGAAAAAATTTTATGGTCGAATGAGACCACATTTAAGGAAGATGGGTACATGAACCTGCATAACTTACACGAGTGGCACGTAGCAAACCCGCATTTGATGAGAGAAGATAAATCTCAATATCGCTTCAAGATAAACCATTGGACAGGAATTTTAAATGGTAAAATAATCGGTCCGTTTGACTTCCCAGAGACTTTGACTGCTGAAGTTTATTTGGATTTTTTGAAAAATCATGTACAAAATTTATTGGTGGACGTGCCACTGAGTATTTACAGGGACATGTGGTTTCAGCATGATGGCTGCCCAGCGCACTATGCACTCTCAGTGAGAGAGTATCTCGATCAAAACTTTCCAGGCAGATGGATAAGGCTGGTACAATACCGTGGCCAGCCCGATCACCTGATTTGAATCCTATAGATTTTTTTACTGGGGAACTGTAAAAGAAAAAGTGTATTTCAAGCCGATTCAAAATGTAGCTGAGCTACGGCAAAGACTATTGGAAGCAGCTGAGTTTGTTAATAACCGTGGATTCGCTCGTTTAATAACCCGATCTTTTTTAAGAAGATGTCGAGCGTGTATTGCGGCTGAAGGAAAACAGTTTGAGCATTTGCCAGTACAGCCAGTTAAAGTTGAGCAAAGTTTTACTTTGGAATACTTGGTTGGGAAATAAGTGGCAATTTTTCCTGAACGAGAAAATTTGGCAGTAAGGTTGAGACACCAGTTTGAAGATGCATTATTCATCATTACATTGTAAAAATAAATTCCAAAAAAGGTTAATATTTGTAGTAACAGGAGTTGACAGACTGCCGTATGGTGTGAAATTTCTATATCTTTTTCAAAGACCTATAATTTTCAAATCACATACATAAAATTTTTTTAAATATTTTTCTGATAGCTGTTATGACTTTGCCTATCACCCGGTTTCGGCTTGACGTCGACTTCTGGGACACCCTGTATACTATAGGAAAGATATGAAATACATGAAACTGCTTGTGCAGTTTCAAGTTTATCTGAGCCAATAATTCGTAAGTCAATTAATATGTTGAATAATTATATTTTCTTACTAATGCTCCTTGCAACAGCAAGGAAGTATCAATGTCTCATGTTGAAATGCGCCTTCCGAAACGTTAACTAAATATAACCAATTAAAATCTGTTGGATTTTTATCGATATTTATTTTTATAAAATCATTAGTATTCCATTCAAAGGCGATGTAACGGTAAAACACCAGATTACTTTTAGCGCAGAATAGTTTCAAAAGAAAGATATTGCTTTATAAGGTTTGTAAGCTCTAGATAGCATTGAATTCACATCACTTTTGAGTTTTCTCACTTGCTGGACATCTTAAGAACCTGAACCAATTTTGAGAAGAACGTCTGGACGTTGCTTTGACCCAAAGTTATTCAGCGTATATCATGAACAGTTGAGAAACTTGAAAATGACTATGAGTTGGATTCATGTTATAAGGTGACTAGGATAGAGTAAACATACAAAATTATGTTCAGCAACACATCCTCAAGCTAATGATACACGATTTGTACCAATTCACCTTGATAATTGTGGATTTTTTTTTCAATCTGGGCATCCCATATACGTGTTCAGTCGAATCACCTAGTGAAAATTATTGTAGAAATGAAATGCGTATTTGGCGTGTTCAAAAATTTTTTGGAGATGAAACGAGATACCATTGCGTCATTAATGAGAATTTGTCACGACTGTTCCTGTTTTACTGTGAATACATTGAATAGGTTAGTGCTCATAGTTGGAGCTGTCTATATCTATGAGACACTAATCTTTTCAAAGCTTATATAGTACGTAGGTACCTGTGACATTATCTTAGACGAGATTGGATATCTTCAGGTAAAATATGTTAATTAGTCGTATTAGTAAGCTATTAGGACTGCTTTCATCTATTCGTCCAGCAGAGGACCAACCGTTTGCTCTGCTTTCATTCGTAGTCCTACTTAGAGACCTACACCATGCTGATGATTGCCAATAAGCATGAAATAGGTTGGCCTTGTGACGGTCGGATGGACAAAAACAGTACGATCACTCTTTTAATGGCAAATAGACCATTATCTACTATATCGCCAGAATCTACGGCATCAAGCGGTCATAGTGAGATTTGACTGTATGTAGTCGCGAACTGGGATACCCTGTCAGTTCCAATAGATAGTTGCTGTTTACTGTCGCAGTGGATAGTTTTCGGACTTTGACTCATACATATTTTTCAGGGGCGGTCCCCGAGACTACGACGAATGGGAAGCCATGGGCAACCCTGGATGGGGATACCGTGACATGCTTCCAACATTCATAGCCATGGAACGAAATGGAAACATCGAAAGCGTGGACCCACGCTACCATGGAACTGATGGAGATATGTCCATCCAATACTTCCCTTATCAAGACCAGAATGTCTTTCATTTCTTCAATGCCTATCAAGAGCTTGGCTTGGAGGTATTTGATCAGAACACCGAAAGGCAAATCGGAACTAGTTTGATTCAGACGTTCAGTCAGAATGGGTTGAGATTTACGTCAAATGATGCATACATAAGGTAAGTGAGACCAGGCGCTTATAACGGGTGATTTTTTAAGAGGTATGGATTTGATTTTCAAAAAAAAACACAAAAAATTTGAAAAAACGATTAAATCCTTATTTGAGTCGATAGAACGGTCCATATAATTTAATGTTTAAAGATTATTTCTTGAAAATGTTGGCCGCGGCTCCGCTTTAGATGGCCCATGCACAAGCTCCAATTTTGGCACACTCTCTCCAACATATCGGCCGGTATCTCACGAATAAATGCTTCAATATTGGCTTCCAGTGCATCAATCATTGCTGGTTTATCCCTGTAGACATTAGCCTTAACATGGCCACACAAGAAATAGTCCAACGGCGTTAAATCACACGATCTAGGCGGCCAATTGCCGGGCCCCAAACGTGTGATAAACTGTTCACCGAACTCGCCTCTCAATAGGGCCATTGTTTCGTGTGCGGTGTGGCATGTGGCACCGTTTTGTTGAAACCACATGTCAGCCAAGTCCAGCTCTTCCATTTTGGGCAAAAAAAAGTTTGTTAGCACGGTAGCGCTCGCCATTCACAGTTACGTTCCGGCCATTGTCGTCTTTGGAGAAGTACGGCCCGATGATGCCACCGGCCCATAATCCACACCAAACAGTGATTTTTTCGGGATGCAATGGTAGCTCTTGCAATGCTTCTGGCTGGTATTCACTCCAGATGCGGCAATTTGGATGTGGCAATGTGGATCATCCTCCAACTTTGCCAGCGCCCATTCACCAAATGGGAAACGTTGTGGGAGGTTGTGTGGCTTCAATTCTTGCGCCAGCTGTATCTTATAAGGTTTTACACCCAAATCCTGTCGCAAAATTTTCCACGTAGTGGAGTAACAAAGGCCCAATTGCTGCGAACGGCGGCGAATCGACATTCCACGGTCATCACTAACACTGGCGGATACAGCCGCAATATTTTCTTCAGTCCTCACTCTACGTCTGCGTGTTGGTGGTTTAATGTCCAATAATGTAAACTGGGTTCGAAATTTAGTCACAAGCTTCCGAATAGCTCCCTCAGTAGGCCGACCAAATTGCCCATAAATTGGAAGCAGTGCTCGATGCACTCTCTTAACCGAGCATGAATTTTGATAGTAAAATTCAATAATTTGCAAGCGTTGTTCGTTCGTAAGTCGATTCATGGTTAAATTATAGACCAAACTGAACAAGTTTGATATTGACACAAGACACGATTCACGCGTCATCTGTCAAAAACAGTGTTGCCAAAAAGATACTAGCAAAAAAATCACCCATTACTACTACTTACGAGTAGCAGGCGATGATCGCTTGTAAATAATAATAATTACAGAATTTTTATAATTACACACAAAAATAAAGTTCAAGCGATTTTAATTTTTTTTTGTATTCACCGTAGTTTCGCTGCATGCAATGCAAAAGGTTTTCGCGGCCATCATCCAATGTTATTTGGTCGGTTTTTGGGTAGTTGGGCCGTCGTACAATATTTTTATTTGACGTTTCGCCATCACAGTTCGGAGTCCTGTGAGCTACTGAGTAACTACCCAAAAACCGACCAAATAACATTCGCTGCATGCTTTGCAAAACCTACATAGCCGTTTAGTCCTTGGTATAGTTGTAACTTTGTTTCGAAATTCCATCATTGACATGGTTTTTCGTGATCCACAGTCTGCGAAAACCAAAAGTTCGCAAATTTTGGCCTAACAAGCAAGGCTAAAAATTGCTTCAAAATAAACTAACCTAAAAATACTCTTGGGGTGGGGGTCTTGTGGGGATAGGCTTTAGCTTAAATTTAGATACCTGGCAACCTCGAGAGTAGGGATTTGTGTTTAATCATTGAAAGTGACCTTTTTAAGGCTTTCAGACGTTAAATGGCCTATAGTTCGAAAACGGTCAACCTTACAGAAAAGGTGGGAAAAACCAGGAAAAATGTAAGCGGAGCGAAAAAAACTTCTTTTTGAAATCAGTTTTAAAAAAATGTTTTTACAAATTTTATCCGCAGGTTTATTCTGGCATGTCAAGGGGCACTGAACAAACGTAATTATGAAAAAAAATCGAGTTAGAAGAGTTATCTCGCGAATGCGACGGTTTAGCCTCCTTAAATATCCCAGCATTTCTTCAAAAATGATCACTGGATATCGTCATTAATTGATCAATTGAATTGAGTCGGTAATTGTAGCTGACCTGATTTGTAGCTTTAGATGCAAATTTAGGGAAAATGCTGAGCACTTGTTTCTTAGCTAACATTACTAATGATTTCGAATTGTACCATTCATGACTTTCGCGGTATTAAATAGTCTTTGAACTGGCTGGATGATATTCATGAGATACTTACGGCCGCGCCGCCTCTGAAAGCGCTATTAATTTATTGCTGTCGCGGTTCCTAGAGACGTCAGTTTGTGACATATGAGCCAATAGAGACTAATAAATGCTTGGTAGCCTAAAAAAGATGGAAGGAAGTATTACAAAACATTATTTGTTAAATGTCCCTTAATAAGAAACAACAGGTAGCCGTTGGGTAGCCTGAAATTTGTTTAATAATAGAATGAATTATGAAAAATAGTTATTTATCATACAAGGGAAAAAAGTACTAGATTTGAGCTTGCGTCGGAAGACAATACAACCTAAAACTAAAATCTAGTATGTTTCCCGTGTATAATACACAATTTTTTTCTGTGAGGGGAAAACGACGAAAAAATATTGAAAAATTATATTATTACTGTATTTAAGTGAAAATTATCGATGTGAAATTTGACTTGTGAAATTAGTAGCTTATGTTGTGTACTTAAAGCGACAATTAGACCTGCGCTGCTTAGGAAACTTTTTAATTAATCAAGTAACTATCAATTTAAGTTTGTGATTTGATTTAAAAGTGGGGACTTCGTGGTTGTTTAGAAGTTATTATTAATACTATAAAGTAAAAAATGTCTGACCCGGAGTTTTCTTTGACTCCACCGGAATTAGTAGAAGTATCCAAAGTAGCGTCACAAAAATTATTGCTAGCTACATATACAATACAGTATCCGGGAAAAAATTAAGTACTCATTTTTTCCAGGGGAAGAAGTAATTTCATAAAAAGTGACATTTTGTTACATGTCAACAGCGATAAAATGTCAAGCTCCTTTCCCGTTACAGAAAAAATGTTTCTTATTTTAAGTTATTTAAGTTTACCGTTTTATAGTTATAAGCGATTTAATGCCTAGAAAACCCTGAAAAATTGGTATATACAATACTTGAAAACTCGGTTGAAAATTATAATTTTTAGGTTGCTAGGTATCTAAATTGAAGTTTAAACCTTGCTTTTCATGACCCCAAAAATTCATATTTTGATATTAGTTTGATGTCGAGCGATTTTTAACCTTGTTTGTTGGCAAATATTGGTGAACTTTTGGTTTCTGCACACTGCACATGCCATGTTACATATAAAAAACGTAACATCTCTTTTGAGAATTACTTGCGGTTACAATACTTCCTCGCCAATTGGTGCTAGAAGCATGAACGAAACTTATCGGTTAAGAATTCATCTCACGTATCTTCTAATGAAGAAATATGACATAGGTCATAACATATTTGTAATATATCACCTTACAATTTTGTACTAAAGGCCGTTAAGGAACCAAAGACCAAACCTAGTAGTCCAAAGAAACGCTTACGTAACAAGGGTACTCATAGACCAGAACAACAGAGCTTATGGAGTAGAATACGTCCAGAATGGCCAGCTGCTACAAGCGACAGCCAGCAAGGAGGTTATCCTGTCTGCTGGATCATTGATGAACCCAAAAATACTCATGCTTAGTGGTGTGGGTCCTTCAAATATATTGCAGCAATTCAATATTCAGGTGAGTAAATACGATAATATTTGATATCCCGCCAACACGGTTATTATTACATATACAGACTTCGAAGTTGAGTCATTTATTTTAACAGTAAGTAGATCTGACCAAAAGAAATGTTCTTTTCCTTTACCATTTTTCTGGTAAAATTAAAGTAACAAAGTTATAGCCCTTTGGAAGTTTGAGTACCGCCCTGTCTCAATAATAATATTATGTGCTCGTGTTTGGCAACAACGGATATAATCCGTCTTATCGGTTCATCGCATCGGAAACAAAAAAGCGAAAGAATTTGGAACGATGTTTTTACAATTATTTTATTCAGTTGTATACAGTCAGTGTCAGTCGGTAACGCGTGAGTGAATAGTGGTGTCTGTTGCGTGGCTCAAACGAAATCAAAAATGGCACATGTTTACGAAGATGCTGAACTTGTGGACATGATTCTTATTTACGCGGCATCACGGATTTATGCGGATCGGTTTCCCAATCAAATGCAACCAACAACTCGTGCCTTTGTTAATGTAGTACAAAGGGCTCGTGAATCAGGTGACTTAAGACCTCACATGCCGGTGCTCCAAGACCGCACGATCAAATACAGGTCCGCACTGAAATACTTGTCGGGAGGATACTTTATAAAACAAGGTAACATTTTTTTTTATTTTTTTTTATTTTTACACACATATTTTGGTTTATCTTCCTTCTACAATCATTATCTGAAAATTAATGACTCAACTTCAAAGTCACCCTGTATAAAATTTCCATGAACATTGGCCTAGGCTGTGCGCTTGCATAATATGCAAAAACGGGCTAGTTAGTTTCAACAATGAAGAAAATAGGCAATTGAATCTATTAAACATAAATAACTATTCTCATGATGTCAACAAACAATAAAGGCAGAGAGAAGTGCTTGAGAATTGCCTTGTATTGATTAGAAGCTTTTCGTGAGATTTTCTTACACGTGAGGAAATCATTTCTCCACAAATGATTGGCACCATATTATATGCAAATCAATTTTTTGTACAGAATCGGCTCATATTCAATACAGGATGATTAAAAATAATGCTTATATTTCTAGAGCAGAAAATTCGAAAAGTTACATTAAAGCCCGAGAAAAGACCAGGTGATTTATGATATACGAGTACCTACTTATTGATTTACTATGAGAATTGGGAGCACCGTATAATTTTTTTCTAGTTCGTCTTTTGAATGGTTAAGTTTATGTCCCACGCTTAGTAAGATCGGGCCTAAGAGTTCTTACACATAGGTCCTGAATATCCGTTACCTAGATACAGAGTGTTGTAAACAGTTTTTAAACGAAATCTCACAGCACATCATCAACGAAAATCCTCTATACTTATATGTAAAGCGGGTGGAGCATCTGATAAAAAATGGCAGCTCACATTTCTTCACAGGAAAGATTTAATATATCGGGGCTACTTTAAGCCAGAATTTTGAATGATCTTATCTGCGCAATCCCTCTTAGCAGGAATCAGCACTGATAAACAGGTATTTGATAATAGCTGCTCCACCTAACTGTTTTGAGCGATCTTTACTATGGAAATTTTAAAAAATCCAATTTCCGGCGTAGTTGAACATAATTCTCCGTAATTCCTATAATTCCTGTTTGTAATTCCTATTGTGTGTACAAGAAATGACGTCAGCGAATGGTCCCTCGGTTTAAGCAGGTTGAGCAGATTAAGGAGTGTCTGCAAAATTCTACGTTTGGGTATATTTTTTTCGTAATGTGCTCGATGACTCGATGCTTAGGTTATCAAAGACTTGCCAGTGGGTCAGAATCTACAGGACCATACTACAACAGACGGAGTCGTAATTGCTCTGAGCAACTTGACAGCTACAACAGCCACTGATCAACAGAGAGTTAGGGATGTATTCACGTTCAGTCAAACCCAAAGAGGACCACTAGCTGGCACTGCTACACTCCAGGTAAGTAATCGAATGAATTGGCCTCAAAGTCAGAGATATCTGTATACATATAAATTAATCGATGAAATAAACAGGCTAGCCTCCCAGGAGTCTACAATTATTCTAGATTAAAAAAACTTAGTTTTAATAAAAAAACGTCACTAAGAAGGAAGCTGTCCAAGTCGCAACAGATGTTATAAGAATTTATAATAAGAGAGTTCTCTGTAGTTCTCACAGTGCTGGCTGGCTCTTCTGAACAGTAACAATGAAGGTTCTTTTAAAGAAAATTCCCACAACGTTCTCGATTCGCTTTGGTTGAGTTTTATCTAAAGGTTTCGTTTCGATTTTAGGTAAATGCGTTTGTGCAGACGAGGTACGAAAATCAGCCAGATAGACCTGATATCCAGTTTTCTTTGGATCCTACGAATGTCCGGGATTTCTTTACTGATCCAGTTTTGACATCAGCAGCCACTGTGAGCCCAAGAGCTTATTATGACGGTATGTAAAATAATGGCTTCAAGAAGGTTGACTCTGCATTTCTCACGCAATTTTATCATCAATTAAATCATGTTGGGTTTGAGAAAATGGCGTCAAGTAGGCTGACTGCACTTCCTACGCAATGCTGTCATATTCTCTTGGCAGTTAATTATGAACTCGTATAACAGAGGAAATAAATGGATCAAGTCCCTCAAATGGGCCCATGCCCCATTTGACAATGTTGCAATCTGTAAATTCAGGTTTACCTTCTACTAGCTGCCCGTCCCCGCATCGTATGGGCAACTGCAGTATCACTTTGTTGAGTCATCTGAATTAGATGAAAATGTAACCGGTGTTCTTCCTACTTGAATGATATTTTATCATTTATTTCCGATGCTGGAAATATTTGACGAACAAAGAATAGATGAATTAACACAGTGGGATGAAAGAACCTTTATTGAAAATTTGACAAAGTATTGAAAAGAGTACTCTTGAAACTTTATTCTCGAACTTTCTATAATTTTATCATCCTAAGGAGAAAATTAATTGAAATGGTGATAAATGTTCTCAAAAAGTACACTGTTGAAAACCGATCTATGATACTATTAGTAAGAAACGTTTAAAAGTACTTATAGCTATGTGTCAAGTACAACACAACGACTTAAAACTGTACATTAATTATTAATTTTTCTGATTCTACATCGTGGTTCGATTTCGCAACGAGATACATGAGACAAATCCTTTTAGTTGAGTGATATCTGGTGGTGAAATGTCATGTTTCAATTAGGAAAATCCGACGGTTGATCTCTTATGCACTTGATCCAGGTATAAAAACATCTGTATCAGCTCTAACAATTATGATATGAGCAGATTGGCTTTTTACTGCATGAAATATATGACAAATAGGCGTTTTTATTTATTATTTATTATTTATAAATACTTGAATCGGCTTCAAAATGGTTAGAATTTAACTCAGGTACTTAAAAAAATAAAGAGTTTTGTAATTTAAAACATTTTGATGGCTCATGAAATCCTCCACAAACATATAAGTAACTCACAATCTCCTTCTACTTGTGTAGATCTAGGGGCAGCATAAAGAGACATCGAACGAGCTGTTACTTATTTTCAGTACTTGCAAAGAAATTATTACAATTAGTTGGAATTTTAGTGTGATCATGTGAAATTATGAAATTTTTAATATCTTAACCTTTACTCCGTAAAGTTGATATCAAATATGTTATGGAAATATTATCATATTTGTCAAATACAATATATACTCGATTTACATTTAACTCCAAGAATAAATTATTGATTTGATTGCAGCATGCCTCAGCACAATCACCAAACATGTTGAAATGTTTTAATAGGATTCGATGAACAAGTATAAATTTTTGGAGTATGTAAACTTATAACGTCCTGCCGCGTGTTATAATTATTTTCAATTTCCAGAGCAAGTTTCGATTTTGGAGATTTTCTGTAAAATCTTTCTGCATCAAAAACGTACTTGCAGTACTCCAAAATTTCATAGGATGCTAAAATTTTTGTGTCAAATCATAGCCAACATAAATGTTTTTTGAAAAATACTTATACGAGGGATGTCTTTTAAGTTTTGCATATGGAAATAAAACAACACGGTAGGTAGTTTTAAATGACTTTATTGTTTTTCGAAGTATTTTCCACAAAGATTAATACACATCTGCATGCGCTCGATCCAATTTTCGAAGCACTTATTCCACTCGTTTGCTGGCAGATCCAAAACGGCATTCTTGAATGCGTCAATTGCTTCTTCTGGCGACTGGAACCTTTGACCACGCAGTCTGTTTTTAATTTTCGGGAAAGTAAAGAAATCGTTAGGACTTAGATCGGGACTATATGGAGGACGTTTTCTTTCGTTAAATACTGCCTTGATTTTTGGGCTGTGTGCGAGCTTACATTGTCTTGGTGGAGGATGATTCTTCTTTCGGGGTTGATTTTTGGAAGCTCGGTGATGACTTTTGGCAAACAAATGGTGGTATACCAATCCTCAGTAACGGTTATTTGCTGATTAAGAGTAATTGTTGCAATATGACCCGCTTTTGACACAATCTTCAAGGACGCCTCAATTTCGCGATATGTCACATGTCTATCTTCAATGATGAGTTTGCGCACAGCATCGCCGTTTTCCTGGGTGACTGCCGTTTTTGGTGCACCCACCCTGGGATGGTCGCTAAGACTCACTCGCCCACGTTTGAATTCTCCATACCAACGGGAAATTGTCGACTGATGTGGCGCTTCGTTACCGAAAACAGACATTAACTCAGCAAGGCATTCTTGTTGCGATAATTGTCTCTGAAAGTTGTAATAAATTATGTCGCGAAAATGTTCTCGGATGAGTTCCATTTTTCTAATTACTTGGTGACACTTAAAAATTCACTGTAGTGAGAACACTGCACGTATTGTTGAGAAACTTAGAATTTAAGTTTACTAAAGAGTGAGGTTAAGATTCAGTACTGACGTTTGATCTGCGCGGCCTACTATGTTTCTATATGCAAAACTTAAAAGACATCCCTCGTATCTGTTTCATCTTATTAATATCTTTTTATTTTTCTGTATAAATCGCTCATTTTCAAAATTTCTCAGCATAGCTTCTCCATTTTCTACAATATTTAATAAACATTGCGAAGAAGACCCATCAGCAAGTTGGCCGGTGTAAATATTTGGAAGCACGTAGTTTTCTTTGACATTGAAGGGATTACAAGCATTGAAATACTTTGTTGTTTTGAGTATCTTTGAATACGGAAACATTAACCGTTATGTACCGAGAAATATTGTCTACTGACTATTACGAGCGACGCGCGGAAAGGGTTGAAGGGCAGGGATAAGGGAAAGATACCACCACGGCTGCTGGCAACATGTTTTTCCTTTTTCTGTGGGGTCCCAGGTAGAAAAATTTGAATACAGTTGTGAGGACTCACATTTTGCATACTCAATGTCCTTAGGCGCCTGCAGTATATGCCCAAAAGTGTCAAAATAAAATGACCCCCGGTGAGGGATCCAACCCCGATTTACAGCATAATAAGCAGTTACTTAGCTTATCTTCTGCACAAAGGCACAGTGGGCCACATAACCGCAAAGTTGGTCATAAATCCATATTTATAACCACAGAATTAGTAGGTACTTAGTGGAATTAACAATGCCTATTTTCATGGAATTTCCAGCTTTTAAAAGGTCAGTACGTATATCTACCTGATGGCAAATACGGGCACGGTACAGACACAAGCCTTCTTAATTATATTACGAACTTGCAATTTGTTTGATTATACAGAAAACGTGCTGAGGAATACATATTTTCATCCGACAAAAATAATTGTGAAGACATATAGATAAAATAAGTACGTAGTTGATTTTACTAAAATCTTTATTTTCTAATTTAAGTTTGTGTAGAGCCACAAAAATATCTACGCTAGATCTAACTTTCAAACAATTTTTATAATACTCGTATAGCCTTAATATTTCCTTAGCAAGCTAGAATGTAAGGGGCATCTTCGTTTGCGTTTTCAAGATGTTTTGATTCCGCTTACTTAGGTGATGATGTCGAAAATAGAATGCAGTCAGCTCTACTGCGCGTTTCGAGCAGTTATAAGGTCCATTCAGGTTTTTACAGAGCCAGTCGTGCTAAATCATTTCTTTCTGGTCTTGGGGAGTGCGACCAAGTCTAGAATTATTGAATTGCGCAGTTACTGACGATTGTGATGCAAGTACAGAGTCATTTTTAGACCTCAGGAATTCTGGTCAAGTTTAGAATAATAATAATAATAATCCGGCTTTATTTATACAAAGTATAAAAAGGCGAAGTGTCGCTAAAAAGCGTTTTTCAACTTAACCCAACAAATATTTATGTAAATTTTCTAATCCCAATGAAAACAAAAAAGTAAAAAAAAAACTGAAACGAGTCCTTATTCATGGCCATGGTCTACTTACTGGGCAATGAAATCAGAGATAAAATTCTTCAATCTTTTTTTGAAATTCTTTTTAGAGTAGTGAGTGAACTCGGTAGGCAACGCGTTGTATAGTTTGATAGCAGTATGTATGCACGACCCAAATATGACCGACATACCTACCTTGTTAAGTTTGGTGCTGAAGCATAGTGTAACAATCAATATACTAATATTTTAATACTAATAATATTAATATTTCTACCCAAATTTAAGATATAAATAATGTTTGGCATATATGTTCAGTGTCCCTTACTAGTCAAATGATTAAATTTCCAGCTTGATTCGTCAACTGACTGCAGAAGCTGGTTCAATGATGTTTTGAGGATCCACGATTTCTTATACACTCATTGACACGCCTGGACATCGTGCTGATAAGGTGGTCGATATCTTGTTGGTTTATCTTATTCCAGGCTACTGCAACTTCGTGAGTAAGAGCTGCTAAGGTCTGTAGAGCCTGAGAGCTATCATGTCCCAGATATGTTTAATTGGAGATCGTGATGGCCAAGCTAAACGGTTGATGCGATGTTGATCCATGAAGGCTAACGATGCTCTGTGTTCCGAAAAATCGGGTTTTGGATGATGTTTAGGTATGGAATAAGATGAGGCTCCACTACTCCCTGAATATAGCATTGGGCTGTCTTACTGCCTCTGAGGAAAATTAGTGGTGATCTGCTACCATAAGCAATAGCATCCCATACCATAACTCCCACTGTGTGGTGAACGTGATGGTCTCTGTCAAATTGTGGTTCACGTTTTTCACCACGTCGCCTTCTCACTACGGGATTCGTCACAAAAGATTCCATTCCCGGTCCCATACAATTCTTTCTCTACACCAGCAAACCGTTACGCCGATGTTCAGCTGTGAGATGTGGGCCATAAGAAAAAAAGCGATAAACCGTACGCATACCAACCATCCTTCCATGCTCTGCAAATCACTGATTAGCGATGGCTGGAGTACTACTGAATCTGTCTCTCAGAGCGAGAAGTCTTAACCGGCGATCTTGTCGCTGTGTGGACCCTCTGGGACATCCAGAACCCCTCCCTCGCTGTCCTGGGCCCTCCTGAGTCCACACTCGTTCACACTGCAGTATACTACGTTGGAGGATCTGTTGGTCCTCCTAGAAACTTCGCCATTTTTTTATTTTTACTCAAATCGAGAGATTTTGTTATAAAAAAACGATAAAAAAAATGAGCAAAAAATATTGATATAGCGCGAGGCTGAAAAACGTACCTGTGCGCGAGACTAGACCGCGTGATGTCAGTAGCCAGACACACGTCGCTAGCTGGCCCGCTGCATTAACCATTCTTACAACAACGCCCCAGTAATCGGTTTGAAGTAGTTAGAGCTGGTACGATAGAGTATTGTTCAATTCTGTGAACTTTGACTGTGTTAAATGTCGGACAGAAAGTGGTGTTTTGTGCCAAAATGTACAAGCTGCCGCACAACGTAAAATGTGGTTTGACGCAGGTCGACGGGATGTAAAATCAGTGTCTTCCACGTCGACCATGTACTGCTGCGAAGATCATTTCGACCTGTAAAAAGATATGGAAAACTATCTGCAATACAAGATGAGTAGCGTTCGAGCCAGGATGAATCCTAATATTGCACCTCATAAATTTGCTACTGGGTAGACAATTAAGCTCTACGAAACGAGTGTTCAGCGAAAAAAGGGCAAGGCAGAAAGACATCGCCAAATATTTGCTGCCGGCACGTCGGGCGGGACTCTCAACCGAAAAGTCCGAGTCTGAAGGGATCGAAGTTATCGAGGAGGAACATGATGAACTGCCTGAACTTTTAACAGTAGAAGTTCAGTCACAGGTATGTGACAAGGCATGCCAAACCAAACAGGTACAAATGTACCTGTTTGGTTTTTAGAAACAAGTCAGTTTAAATCTCACAAACACGGAAAGTAGTGGATGTTGCTGTATCGGCAATAAGAATTCCTGCGCTTGCTAAACAGATTTCAGAGCGGTCAAAAAAACGTGGAAAATGAACGGGAAACTCTTGAAAGTCCTGCAATAACAGAAACATCCGAATCTGATTCTTATGAAGCCAGTGGAAGCAGTACTGAAACTAGTGACAGTGAAGTTGACCAGCTTACTGCCGAGATCGTAGTCATTCTAAGCGCAATTTTCGTCAACGTTTAGAACCTGGCTTAATTGCCCATTCCCCGAATGCAGCCCTAAACTTTGTTATTTAAGTAGCTATGAAATTCTATAATGTGACTGCCCCCCCCTAATTTAAGTATCCCCAATGGGCCCTAAAAAAATAAGATTCTCTCTACATACCTGGAATTTCTCTCATTGAAAACATATTAGGTACCATACTTTACTTCAGAATAGTGTAATAAAGCCTCATTATGTATGCAAAAAGAACCAATTTCGGGGCACTTAATAGGCGTAACAAGGTAAAAAGGTATGTGTAAATAGCCTTCAAAATTATTGTCACGAGCAGGCATTATTATGTCTTAATACTATTAGTTTTCAATAGACTAAAGCAAAGCAGGATCAATTTTTGCGGAGATATACAAAAAATACTACCCATTGGAGCTAAACAAAAAAAAATTAGCTTCATATAGGTACTTATCGAACTACTTTAACACCGCCGCTCTGAGGTTCATTTAAATTTGCATTATTTGCCAAAAACTCGTACACCATTTCCACATTCACATGGGGTAAATTTCGCGAATCAGCTTTCTGATAACCTTGGAGCATTGTGCTAGCACAGATAAATAAAGTAGCACAAACCCCAGTTTATATAAATTCGTATTCGTATACTCTTCTCTCCGTATACAAGACAATACAAGATACAAGTACTCTATGAGGGCGACAGCACGTGTCTGGCTACTGACGTCACGCGGTCTAGTCTCACGTACGTGTAAAAAATGCTTTCCGTCGACGTAACTATTAATATTTTGCACTGAAATTTCTTTTTCCGCTTTTGAATAGCGAAATCCCTCGATTTTAATTAAAATAAGAGGAATACGAGAAATGTCGAACCTTCCTATTCTACGCACTCTAGGCATTTTGAGCAATCACAAAAAGGCTTCTCAATAAGCTACACGAAATTTAACATTTCACTGACACCGTAAATGTGCGAAAACTAAATGCTTTATCACCAAACAATACACGCAGCGACCACAGAAAACTTGACAGAAAAACTTGACCATTTTATCACTTGTTGTTCATGGCAAGATAAACCAATATGTAAGCAATTGTTGAATTCTAATAAACATACGTAGGTGTTTACCTTTTTTCGTCACTCAGTATATTTCTTAATCCATTTTAGGTGTAATGGTGAGGCCAATTCTCCTCAGCCCCGCTAGTAGAGGTTACGTCACTTTGAATGTAACTGATCCACTATTCGGGCTCCCATTGGTCTTTCCCAACACCTTCCAAGAAGACATAGACCTCCGTAGGATGGTCGAAGGCATGAAGCAAGGAACCAGTATAGCAAACACTCCAACAATGAGACGTATAGGCGCTAGGGTGGTGACTATTCCTTTGCCTGCATGTAGACACTTACCATTTGGCACAGATGAGTATTGGGCTTGTGTTGCCATGTCGTATACCACGACCATCTACCACCCTGTAGGTAAGTAGATCTCCAGGACAATTGAAGATAAAAAAGCACTGTCATATGTTTTTAAATATCTGACATATGTACTGGGGGTTTAAGCTGTGTTAACATAAATATCAGTATTCGCCAGTCTAACTAGGGGCAGTGAAATCCAAAAATCGAGAAACGATGTATTTCTTTTTACTGCGAGGAAGGTATGAACCTTGGACCAAGGTTCAAAAGATTTTTTTTATGTTTACATAGACATGTCTAACGTGCGTGATTTTTTGTTTTTCCCAATTTACAGCGTCAATTGTTCGTAAGAAGCAAATAATGAGGACAATTACAGATGGTACAAGTTTATTGTTTTAGAACGAATTTTTGTCATGGATTGCCTACTTATTATTTGATCAGTTCATATTAATAAGCTAAACCTTGGGATGACAAAATGAAAGTGGCAGAACGGGATTTCAAGGTAGAGGCTTGGGAATTTTTTTAAAGGGAATGAGAGTCATGCGTTACTTCATTTTGATGCTATTTCTGCGTACTTTGTAATCCTGAGTATCTCTCAAAATGGTGGATTGTTGAGCGTAATTGAACATCGTTTCGCGTATACCTCTTTTGAAAGTGTTTATCTGAATGTGCAATAGATTATGAATCATTTCGATAAGAAAAATTAACACATTTGGATAATTAGTTTTAAATAAAATATCCCATATTGAATTACAGATTCGTATAGCCTACTAGGACGTTTTGATGCTTGTCGAGATACAAGCGATCTTATATAGAACTCTCAACTGACATACTGCTAGTCCGTCATTCTGAAATACAGCGGTTTTATGTTCTTGTACTTAAGTTATACTTACAAAAGGCTTCAAGACATCGGGATATAATATACTAAGCGACATATAAATCCGAACACCCAGTTTAAATGGTTTTATTTTAATAAAATTTTGTATAAGTACTTAATGAAGCATAATAAGTAAATGATAAAAATTTCAAAATGATTGCACCGCTTTAAAGCCCTTTGACCTTTAATAATGTGTGGATGCACCCTGATGTGCTACGCATTCTCCAACGCGCCTAGGCATGCTTCTGATCAGGTAGTCAATGTCCTCCTGTGGTATCTCATTCCAGGCAACCACCAACTCCTCTCGAAGTGCTTCTAGAGTCTGAGGAGGACGTTGCAAATTGAGCAATCTCCTACCCATCATATCCCACACGTGCTCAATTGGGGATAAGTCGGGAGATCTTGGTGGCCATGGTAACAATGTGACATCATTATGTTGAAAGAAGTCTATTGTGACTCTTGCAACATGTGGTCGGGCATTATCTTGTTGGAAAGTTGGATCTGCCAGGGTGTCAAGATCGGGTAAAAGATGGGGTTCTAGAACTTCGTGGATATAACGCTGCGCGTTTATGTTACCTCTGATGAAGATTAAAGGTGACCTGGAACCATAAGCTATAGCACCCCAAACCATAACTCCAACAGTGTGATGAACATGTCTTTCAACAAAAAATTGTGGATTCCTCCTTTCACCACGTCGCCTTCTAACCCTGGCACGACCATCGTGCATGCCTAAACAAAATCGAGACTCGTCACTAAAGACAATACTGTTCCATTCCTGATCCCAGAGTGACCGTTGTCTGCACCACTCAAGGCGATTACGTCGCTGTTCTCGAGTTAAAGGGAGGACCCAGTGTGGCCGGTATGAAAACAAGCCAAAACTTCTCATTCGTCGGTAAACACTTCTCATGCCAATAGGTCTTCCGTTTTCTGCAAACCATTCATTTGCAATGGACCTGGTAGTGGAGAAACGGTCCCTTAAGGCCAATAATCTTAGGCGGCGATCTTCACGGTCTGTTGTTCTACGGCGGCGTCCAGTGCCCCTTGCTCTTTGCGTACGGCCTTCTCGAAGCCATGCCTGACAACACCTAACCACAGTGTCTACACTTCTTTGCACTCTAACTGCAATTGCCCGAAAAGAAAGTCCAGCTTCCCGAAGTCCCACTATACGGCCCCTATCAAACTCACTAAGTTGATAAAATGGTACAGGTCTCCGTACTCTAGGCATCGTAACCGATCGTAAAGGCTGTCAAGAACCAAAATCCGCCAACGTTGATTCTTTACTGCGGCTGAAATATTCATTTTTAGAGCGTTAGTGAATTAAAAAAAAGCAGTATAAAAACCGGAATGTCCAACTGATAAGGCTGAACATTTTTTCACTTGTTATTTACAGTACATAAATACATACACCAACTTTTAATAAAATAAAACCATTTAAACTGGGTGTTCGGATTTATATGTCACTTAGTATACAAAAGGAGACGCTATTGTCATATAAATTATAAATCATGCTATCGATAAAGGGACCGGGGGTGGAGCTTAGTCGCTTAACAATATGGCGGATTTGCCAGGATCGTATCTGTTTTTAATGTATGTATTTGACTTGATTGAATTTATACTACGAGTATATGTAAATTATATCATTTGCTACACTTATGTATTTAGAAAAAATCTATCTAATATACAGTGTGTCCCATTTACTTCAACATCTGTGTTTTTTGACCGATTTTCATAAACTTGTTTTTGTTGGATGGTCAAAAATGCCAGTTTGTGGATATTCAGAAAATGTAAGACACGACCCAATACTGTATTCAAGTTTTAAGAGCGAAGAATCGAGAATTACTATAAGCGATATTTGAAAAAAATTACACCGGTTTATTATTCAGGACCACCTAAAACATATGTTCACCAAATTTGGTTGTGATAGTCAGTTGGAATCAAATTTTTAGAGGTGCAATAGATTTCCTGATTAAATACGAGTTTTTTTTTGAATATTTTTTCTTATGGCATTTCTTTCTCAAGATACATACATCGCATCTTTTGAAAACCAAACTTGGTAAACATATGTTTTAAGTGGTACTGAACAATAATCCGGTGTCATTGTTTTCAAATATCATTAATCGTACTTCTCGACTTTTGGCACGTAAAAATTGAATACAGTAGACCAGGACGCAATTACATGTTTTGAATATGTTAGGCCTAATAAAATCTATTAGATACATGTTTATTATGCAAATATTTTTAAGTAATTAAGTTTTTTGCTATGATGTCTTATACTAACTGCTTGTTTCTGTAGAAGGGATAAGTCGAAAGCAGGTCTTAATACTGTATTTGATAGTACTAGTATCTTGGCAGGTGGTGATCTTTCCTAAAATAAAACATTAACGCTCATTACTTCTAGACATTTATGAAACCTAGAATTTACATTAAAACATGCATTTAAGATGACATTATATCAAGGAAAACTACAAAAAGGATAATGACTGTTTTGAATTAAGTATACAGAACATTTTAGGAAACAAACATGATTTTATTAACATACCTATCTGGTTTGGATGTATTGTCAGAACAGGATTTGGTTTGAGATTAAGATAACATTTTAATGTTCTACCGAATGACTCCTCAGAAAAATTTTTCGAGCAAATAACACTAGATCTTGTAGGTGTCCATTCACCCCTATTAAAAAATTTCACCCAAAGTTGGCAACGGTCAGCGTTTTTAGGGAATCTACAATTAATAAATATATTCAAAATAAAAATATTAGATGGCTCAACTCATGAAGATAAGTTCTCTTTAAGAAAATCAAGCACCTTGACATGCATTTTATGAAAATAATACAATCTCATGACCTGCAGTTCAAAATTTAATTGATAAATTAGTATTTATATTTTTTCGATAAATTACTCGTAGATATATTACGGGTAGTTTGGTTAGTTAGGCCAGCCTCACTGAGAGGTATTAATAATAAGCCTAATAATTTTGGCAAACACGATTTTCTATAATAAACAATAAAGCCGAAATAAAATATATATACCTAGGTACGTCTCTGTAATATGTTTATACTAAGCTATGGACAGTTTTTCCTGTTGTATTCTTTTTATCCACTTCAGTTCGACTTGCACAACTCTGTAGAGCACAAGACACCGTAATAATATTCTTCAATTTGTGCAAACAGTAGCACAAAAGCCTTTGAATTTCAAAAATAAGTACAATTAACTGCAACGAAATCCAAAACAACTCGCATAATGTACTTTGACATAACTTTGACAGAAGTCAGTCATCAATATGGCGTACCCGGTGTCGCTCAAAATCACGTGATTTCGTCTCCTCTTTCATTATATCTCGATGCTTCAATGATGTATTACGTGACCTTCCATTCCGTTTAAAAAAACGTTGCAAGATGGTCCATCTACCTCTTTTATGCTAGAATATAGTATTTATGCACATATTGTATCACCACAAATTTCAGCTTGCTAACTTTATATTGTCAAAACATAAGCAACCCACGTGTAATGTAGTTCTTTGGATAATTCTGGAACTATTTCATGGATTGGTGATTTTCGAAATGAGGCTTTTCTGTAAAAATACAGACTGACTAGAATTTTCGACCATAATATCTTTTACTAGTGGACTCGCATGTGAAGCTTATTCGTCTACTCTCGATCTTCAAAAGACTGCTAAAAATGACTAAGCGTCTTCAGCCTAGAATACAAGACTTCAACTTTCTTGTCAAATCCATTGCTCTGGAACGGGAAGGTTGAAATCTTACATTATAACTAGAGAAATATGCATTTCTTGTAGATGTAGGAATATCACTTTGTTCTTTTCGTAATTTTTACATGTCGGAACAAAATCGTCAAACGGCAGAGTTGTTTCAGATAAGGCTTAGAACTAGTTCCTGCATATTCCACAATTTTCATTTTTTCAACAGGTACTTGTAAGATGGGTCCTGCCAACGACCCAACAGCGGTAGTCGATCCAAGGTTAAGAGTGTACGGCATATCCAACCTAAGGGTCATTGATGCCTCCATCATGCCTACGATCATGAGGGCCAATCCAGAGGCTGGTATCCTTGCGATTGGTCAAAAGGGAGCTGAGTTCGTCATTACTGATTGGATACAGAGTGAAAGATCAAAGACTAGTGGATTCAGATCGGATCCTGGAAGAAAGCTAGGGTGGTTTGAGGGAATATTTAGCCGATTTTGGTAGTGTAAGCTATGCTGTGGTTATATTGTGATCCTTTGTCTACAAAGCAGGCGAAAACATTAGCAATTAGCAATAGAGATGTAGAGCGCATCATGTACATGAATACTTGCACCGAGTATGTTTCGAGGTGTTAGCTAGCAGGTTTACGTAGGAAATTCAAAAAAGGATTTAGCAGAAAATGAGTTAACTGAATAAAATATCGGAAACCCCAAGATAGAGTAAAACGTAAAGTAAGATATCTAAGAGTTGGTTGGATTTGCAGTGAAGCGTTCTACAGATGCTGTGTTGCTCCAGATTGGGTGCATTATTGTGGTATAAAATGAAGTTATTGGTCAACATTATACATATTAAAAATGGCTACACAGTTTTAATTTGCTAATTGAGTTTTTGAGAACAGCAACATTATGCTACGGCTTCATCAAAAATTATAAGTTGCCCCATAGGTCATTATTTATTCACCATGAGTGTTCAGTATACTGACAATTGCTCAGAAGGATATAGAATTAGATTTTGATTCAACTTTGTTATGGAATGTGATCAATTTTCTTTCTCAAGGTACACTTTTTTTCGAAGTTACCACGTTTACTTAAAATTACAATTCTGTCTAAGCAGTAAGTTCCAGTAGTTACCACTTTGTACATACAGGGGGTTTCTTAATTGAACGTAAATACTTGAGGGGGCGAATTTGAGTCCATTTTAAGAAGAAAATTTCATCTGAACGTATGTCATCAACTTCTTAGATACAGGGCGGTTAAGTTTTAAGAACTAAATCATTTATTTCTGTAATATCAGTTAATTTTAATTAAATATGGCAGACATGTGACATGTTTGTATCAAGAGGCATGTTTTATGTATTTTTTTAATTTCCACCAGTGGACTTGTACGGAATTCAGCCTGTGTATTTTGACAGACATTGATGGCACGCCACTGATTTCTCTTGAAGTGAAAATTCTGCTTGAAATCCCAATCATTCTTAAACAAATCTTGATTTTTGCAATCCAGTGCACGGATTTGGTATAAAAAAATAAAATTCCGGCAATATGACAATATCAACTCGCAAACAGATTTTATCTTTTAATGAAAACCATGCGTCGGACTAAGAAAATTCATGAGATCAAACCTATTTATAAATGGATATAGATATCATTTTTTTTTCAAAAGTCAGTAGCGTGGGAAATGATTTATGTTTGAAAACCCTACCACTCGGACGCTTAGGACATAAGTTCACATGAAGTTTTTTGTTCAAAATGGCCCCAAACAACTTTAATGTCGATTTAATTATGAAGCACCCTGTATAAGAGTATAGTTGAGTACTAAGGCCCGTATCGTCAGTCGTCCCTACAATTGTAGGGCGCGGTTATGGCCTCCTTGATTGTCATACTCCTTTCTCTCCTTCAAAAATTTCTAGATTACACTTGTCCCGTGTCAGCGTCAGCGCTCTCCTATTGTGAAGATATGTTTAAGCTGATAAAACATGATATAACTCAAAAGCAAGCAGAATTTGATGCAAATAGATGTTTGTGACATAACCTCAAAATAGAGCGCTGACACGGAGAAGTAGAAAACTATGACAATCAAGGAGGCCATAAAGGCGCCCTACAATTGTAGGGACGACTGACGATACGGGCCTAAAAAAAGGAGTGAGTGACGTAACGCAGTGTGCGTCACTGTTAACGCTTGCCTACAAGTTACCAAGTTTGCTATTTTATGTCATATGTAATGTTAAGTATAGCCAAATAAATAATATTTAGTATTAAAATAGTGTGTTTCTCAGACGTACCCTTAAATAACACAATCTATCAAAAGACGCTAAGTAGTTAGTTGCTCAGTGTTTCAAAGGCAAAGATTCCTTGGTTGAAAATGACAGATATCAACCACCATTATCAAAATTGATATAGTTGTAGTCACCGTTCTCGACGGTTACGTCATCAACGCCATATCAAATAAGTAAACAGAACGAGTCTCCGTACCATGGCCTCAGACTAATCTTCAGCGCATCTGTTACTCTCTCCAGTACGCATGAAGTGGGTAACAGAAAACCGCTGTTTTCATTCTCTTTCTGGATATACTTTAATAAATTTAGCACGAGCTGTCGGTCTTCTTCATTGATCGTATTTCCGGACATTGTACAATTTTATATTGAAGATTGATTGAAGGGTACTCAAACGTAACGATAAAGTTTTCGAGACGGAGACAAACAACTAAAAACCGTATGTCTTTGAGCTTACCGAACAAACGTTCACACACAGGAGTAGGTTTCATGTGTATGAATGAGGGAGATGGAGATATATAAAGATATACTGGTAGTCTTACTTTATACAGAAAGTTATTATGGTATAGCAAAATTTAGTCATTGCTACTGTACCACTTTTTTTATATCGAAGCAGCGGCGCAGGCAGAAGCCTAAATGCCGGAACACCGCGGCTGCTACGATGATCCCAAAGAAATTTTGTTGATACGATGTTTGAACTGCCTAAGGTTAGTAGAACTGGGAAAAGCTTCCTCTTGTAGATTGTTCCACAATCTCGATATCTTCGGCACAATGGAGAATTTGTATCGGCCAGTTTTGGATGTACGAAGTTCGACCCGGTAAGGAAAGGAGACCAAAGTCAGGCGGGTCAGGGGGGGTTCATGGTGGAGTTGGCAGCAAAGATCTTGGCAAGCACTTCCGCCTTGTAGAACAATTTACTAGAAGTTCTCCTCTGTTTTACGTATAAAAATATGTTCAACAGTCAAAAACATTTTTGACGAGCGATAATGTCAACATCAGCCTATCTGCTGGTTCGTTTGTCTCTCAAGGTCTTATCTTTTTGATAATGCGTTAAAATTTTTAGATGGATCAACACTTTGTAGATCTTCGCATTTTCATATTTTCAAGTTTCTGATCTTCCTCGGACAAAAGAGCGGAAGTATCGACCTGTTCTGGATGTACGAAGTTTGACACGGTTAGGATGGGGCGCCAAAGTCAGGCGGGTTTGACTGGCGGGCAAATCGCGTGGCTGCATCATGTAAGAGAGCTCTGAGGAGCAAAGCCCGTTGGTGTAGCGGTATAAACGAGCTATGATCGCCGGCGGCTTGCCGGTGCGAAAGAGTCCCGAGACTGTCTGTTAGACAAGAGTCATCGATCAGTCGGACCGCCCTCCTCTGGACAGCATCGAGCATGGATAATGTAGTCGGGGCGGCAGCACCCCAAACGTGTGAGCAATTCTCGAGGTTAGGCCTCACCTGGGCCTTGTATAGAGTGAGAAGGTCATGCGGAGAAAAGTACTTCTTAGCCCTAAACAAATAGCCTAGCTCTTTCCCAGCAGCTATTGACGAGATGTGTTCGTGCCAGATCAGGTCCTCGGTGATCTTGACTCCGACCAGCCGAAATGAATGGCCAACCATCTAAACCGGACGAGCGCTGGGACGCTTTTTGTTCGTCAAAATATAGTACTGTGTTTTGGAAGCATTAAACTGTACAAGATTGTTGCGTCCCCAAGCAGTGATAACCTTAAGGTCTTCGTCAGAGAGGAAGTCGTCGCTAGTCTTCTTTTTTCCAGCTCAGCGGCAGAGATCGGCTTGTCACTCTGAATTCCTGCATGTAGAGTGCTGTCATCAGCGAAGCTGTGGATTGGGTTGATCGTGCAGGAAAGGAGGTCGTTGATATGTAAGAGAAACAGTGTTGGAGCTAAGACAGATCCCTGGGGAACACCCGCGTTGACGTTGTGGGATGAAAAGGAGAACCCGTCAATTACGACGGATATCTTGCGGCCAGAGATAAAGCCAGCTACCCATCTACAAAGATTTTCTGGTAGGCCATAGGATGGAAGTTTGCTTAAGAGGGCAGCTTCCCACAGCTGGTCGAACGCTTTCGTGATGTCAAGAGCAACGACATGAGCCTCACCATAAGACTGGATGAGTTTACTCCACAATTGCTAGACGTAAGCTAGGAGGTTATCTGTGGATCGTTGGTGTCGGAAACCATACTGCCTGTCGCTAATCAAGCTGTGACGTTGGAGGTAGTCCAGAAGCTCACGATTTATGCACCTCTCCATCACCTTACTTATAGCAGAAAGCAGTTATAGGCTTGTAGTTGTAAGGGTCGGTCTTAGATCTCTTTTTTGTTACGGGTTGGACATGAGCAAATTTCCAGTTTTCCGGGAAGGTACAGTACAATGACAGGAATCGAGTCTTGACCAGAAGCTTTGTTGATGTCGAGCGACAAGAGCACTCGTCTCACGATCTTATACCTGAATGTTACCTCTCACATGGTGTAGGGAACCCTTTGAATTGACGGCACTTGGGCGGTGGGGGTTACGTTCATGGTGGAGTTGGCAGCAAAGATCTTGGCTATCACTTCCGCCTTGGCCTTTGAGTTGAATACAATAGTTCCATCCTGACACGTAAGTCGTGGAAGGCTACTGTGTGAGAAGTTCTTTTCAATCTGCTTGGCCAGGGTCCAGAAAGACCGACTGCCATTGCGCTGCGACATTACCATGTGCCCAACTTTTATATCGTGCTGGTGTTTGGCATTGCAAACCATTTCGTTATATTTTGACTCGACGTCGGCTTGTCTGTTCTCTACAGTGGGGTTTTGTGAGAAGGTTCTGTGTGCCTTGATCTTCTGCTGGCGAGCAGTGTCACACGATTTGTTAAAACAGCCGTTGGACCCTGGTTTAGGCACTTTCACTGTGTGAGGGATGTATTCCTCCATTTCGACGTGGATAATTCCGATTAGGCAGCCGACGCATCCGCGTCAGTGAAACAGACATCTCTCCAAGGAAAGCTAGAGAAGAAGTCTTTGAGCCCCTCCCAGTCGGCATGTCCGTAATGCCAAGTTTTGCGGCCTGTACGAGTTTCTGCCGCCACAGCGGGTTCTGACCGAAACCTAACCTCCACAACACCGTGGTCTGAGTTACCCAGGGTTGACATTACAGCAGTGCTGTAAGGGATAGGATGCGTGGTCAGAAAGAGGTCCAGCAGGCTACTGGCGTGTGACGAGACGCGGGGAAAAAAAGTAGATCTCGTCATCAGCTGGGTCAGCCATTGAGTAAGAGCGAACGCTTCGACTGCACGACCTGCTGCATCGGTCTTATTTGAGCCCAATCAAAGCTCGTTATGGGCATGGAAATCACCGAGAAGAACTTCCTCTGAAGCGGGGTGATTGAAGTTCAGGAAGTCGATCTGCACGGCGAGGTATTCAAGTAGGTCATCCCAGTTAGGGTCCGAGGGAGAGCGATAAAGGCAGAAGATAAATTTGGGTGATGTTCTGGAGTTGAGGCGAAGCCACAGAATGACCTTCCGGTCTGATCCCAAAGAAACATCTCTGGAGCAGGAAAGACTGCTACGAACAAAAGCCACAACTCCCCCGTTCTTTATCAAATTGGAGTGCACCTCGTAGTTTTGTATCTGCCAAGAAAAGCACGGCAGGACGATTGGATTGCAGGTAGTGATGAACAGCATCAATCTTTCTGTTAATCCCGCAGATGTTCGTAAAACAAATTTTATCTTCGAGGTTGTTCCCTTGGGCCCACCCTCCACCCGGACATTCCGAGAGTGGAGTGAGTTTACGTCTGGAGTTCTTACTGCTCGAGGCATCCATCATCATTAATTTCTTTGTTTTGGAAGATAACCGACTGCATAGCTTAGGTGTGGAAACATGTGGACATTTATAAGACACCCTGGGAAAAGCTAGCGGGTGGTACCATCTCGGTCGACTGGTCCTTGTCTACCATCTTCTTTTAACCGTAGTACAACCAGACATCACAAAATAGAGGAGCAACATGAATCAGATGAAGTGAATAGGTAATAAACAAGCTATCATTCGGCAAACTGATGCAATCTTAAGATCTTACAGTTATCTGGTAAAGAATAAAATAACTTGTCCGCATTATTAGTAAAGGACCTCTCAAAAACTGAGTACGATTTACAGGGTGTCTGCCAAAGGTTGGGAAATCTCGAAACTGTGAACTGTGTGAATTGACCTAAGTTATTTACAGAAATAGTGCTGTAAGTGGCACCCACTAGAAGTTTGGCCATAAAAATAACGGATTCTTGTTTCTTATACTAGAAGACGTCCCCGAGTTTTACGCCAAAATCTGAAATACTTCTCAAGCAATAAGGAAAAATAGAAAATAAAACTGTAACTTTGACACCCTGTATCTCGCAAAATATCAACTTTTGGACTAAAGTATGTTTAGGTCAATGCACATATTTTGGGCTATAGTATCTCCAGTTTCGAGATTTCTCAACCTTTCATAGACACCCTGTTTAGGAATTGAAAGGAGACCATTGAGCATAGATTTAGAGTAGTTTGGTTTCCACGATTAATCAACTTATCGAGTAAATAAACCGGTTTACCAGTTCTAAACATTCTATGCACCAATGAAACCATGGAATAATTGAATAAACCATTAACTCTGAGCCACTGCAACTCTTTGACCTTTGAAGAAACGCTACTATACTTTCTAAGCCCAAATATGAACCTGCAACAGTCTGAGGACTAGAGAGTAAGCTAAAGATGACAATATGAGGCATTCGCACAACTTTTTACGGCACTTAAAGTTTAGAATATGGCGATTAGAATATTAGAGCTTCATCTTCATATAACTCTATTTCGTGATACTATTCACATGTATGTTCAGTCTATGATTTGAATATAACACCTACATTGTTAGCATTATCAAAAAGTGGAATATTAGTGTGGTTGATAAATAAGAAGATTTGTGATATTGTAATTTGAATATATAGG